AGCCATGTTAAAGCCAGCGCATACTGTGATTTTATTAGGCAAAGATGGATTTTCTCGACTAATTTTAAGCAAAACTCTTAAAAATTCTTTACTGGATTTGTTCATTAATTGCACGACTGACTGCTTAACTTGAATGAGCGATGAGACGGTATCTGCTTGAATTAACCGTTCATCAGAAAAATCGTCTACACCATTGATTAAATTCTTAATATCATTTTCAGCTATGGTTTGAAGAAATTCCACAAGGTCGCTAGCAGATGATAACTCTTTAATCAATAACCAATAATTTTCATTATCTGTTGGATTATGATCTTTACAATATTTTACAAATTCGACAACCTTTCCTAAAACTAATACGTCCTCTTTTAAAATTTTCAAAGATCTTCCTAACCAATCTTCGGTTTTAACGGACACATTAAAAATTTCAACAACTGCAGATAATTTGTGAAGTCGTTCTTCCCATTTTGGTATAGCAGTAAGGTGTTTGATAGATTTTTCTAGATCTTGATTATTTCTACCCAAATAAACCGATTTATTAATTAATTCCAACTCTGTCTTTACATCATCAACACCCTTCCATAAAGGAAATGCTTCGGAATATTTAATTTGCTCCCATTTCTTATCTTTATATTTCTTGAATGTTTTAAGATATTCTTCACGCACTTCAGGTATCAAAGTATTAATAACATAATCAACTTGTATTTCATCAGTAATTTGACTTAAATGTGTTTCGTAAATGTTAGTAAAAGTCATTGAATTTGCATATTCGTAAGCATCTGCCACTTTCTGAAGTAAATCTTCATGACGTTCCCAGTAACGTGAAGATAAAGCTTCTTTGAGCTGTACTTTCGACAACATCTTTAATTTTGCCTCTAAATCAGTAGTATACAACTCCGAATCCGCAATTTTATCTGGTGGACAAAAAGTGCTATAAAAAGCCTTAAGACATCTAAACCTGTCTTCAAATGTCTTGCACTCTTTGCGAACGGCTGAAATATTATTTTCGCTAATAATTACACTTTGAAATGTTTTTTTGGTATTAGGACTATTAGCAACATTAAGACATTCGGACAATTGTCGGTCCTTATCATATTTTGATAAAATTGCTTGTAATGTTTTAATATCGATAGTTTTATCAACAATCGAGCTTGCTAAATTAGAAATGGCTGTGCGTATTTTCATAACATAGGAATGTTTATGTAAAACTGCGACATTGCCTCTTGCATTAAAAATCAGTCGCCAGAAATTCGTGTGTTTAATGAGATCCAATTGTTGATCACTGGTATAAACCTGAGAAGTATGGTTTTCCAAACAAGTCATAATATGACATAACAAGCTTTCGCTAATGCTATTTAATAAAGCTTTTATTAGACATATTAATATATTTAACAAAATAATAATTTATTAATTTATAAAACACCTTACCTATTTGGAACATCTAAATTGTCTAAATTTACTTTATTATTTTGACCACAAATCCAACGTATCATCTCTATAAGATTATTATTTATATTCCGAATTTCTCTAGCAACGAGAACATTTTCAGTTACCAGGTTACAAAACTGTATGGTAATAGATTTGTTAAGCGCCGCTACTTGAACTGTTGCAAAGAGAATATGATTATGAGAACATTTTTTAATTCGTTCTTCAGCAATACGTAACAATGCCTGGTAAATCTTTGATTTCTCCGATAGTAAAGACTGTAAGCGTAGTAAATGCTCATAAATAGCACATATAAATCTTCCACCTTCATTTAATGGCATGTTATGATTATAATTTAGCATTGATAAGATACGTGTAAACCATTGTTGGCATATGTTTGTAACCTCTGGCGACCTAGTATTTGAAAATCTAGAGTTAATCCAATATTCTAGAAGCTCTGGAAACATGTTCAATACATTAAAAACCGCTGATTGAGAAACACAATTTATGACACTAAGAAAATTCTCTCTTTCAAAATATAAATCTTTATCTTTAAGAAGTTTTCCGAACGCCGACAAATTATTTTTGTCCCAACCGCCCTGCTGATTCTTGAGTAAATTGATTATTCGTTCACGGAAAAGATGTGCAACTATCTCCCGGTGTTCTGGAATAACTTTAGTAAAATTCTCGTACAAAGCACTGGCATTGTCATGAGCAATAATTTTATTAACAGTTCCGTTGAAATCATTTGCAATTTCACGATCAATACTTGGTGTATGATAAATACAATCACGCCATATTATATTAAGAGTCTCCATATTTGAGCAAAAAGAAATCAACCACTGCAAAAACAACAAATAAATTAAGATTTTTAAATCATCTAATTAAAAGCAAGATATAAAAATTATACCTTGGCAATTTTGATATAAACACGATCATCTATCTGCTCCAAGTAAGGATTGACTATTTTCGGCCATTCCTTTAACAAGTGGGATATTTGTTTATCATCATAACGAGCACCCGTAAATCCATCGACAAAGGCATAATTCGGATCAAGAAGCTGCGCTACCCGAAAGATCCTAAGCCATTCAAATGACCCCCTTACAATAGCATTATGACGAACTAAAACAACAACAACTGGAGTCATTATTTGTTTAATATTAGTTGGGAATGTGTCATATTGAACATATTGGAGTGCTTCAAGTAAACAATCAGATCGAAAATGTGTTGGCAATTGAGGAGTGAAAGCGTATGGACCACTACGGTACTTAAGATGATACCCTAAGAGAACACACAAAAAAAGTCGTTTCTCTCTTTTGTCCTGACAGCGTTGCATTATAAAATCGATACTGATAGAATTTAATGTGTGATTCCTATGATGTTCCAACAATGATTGGAATTGCATAACTTTATCTTTAAGGTTTTCATTATTTACACCATCATAGATGCATTTAATGAATGCAAATTCCTTAAGACCAAATATACTATGCTTCCTACTGTTTAGCCATATGTCATACTGATCATTTGTACTTGTGTCCAAAGTGCGGTTTTGTCTCTCACCCTCTCCTTCATAATCTATGGTGCGCCTGTATTGGTTAAAGATACCATACTTATATTTAATATCATTCCTTCCTATCCGAATGTCTACAGGATGTGATCGCCAATAAGTTGGATATTCTTGTTTATGTGGTTGAGTCAATTGAATTGTAATCATCTTCCAACTTCCCAATTCTTCACAATTACCCATTATCACCGGTTCACCGTGTCTTTCAATTTGTTGCGGTAAATGCACATGAAATGTAACTTGAGATACTCCTGCATATTTATCATCATCTTTAGATCCAAATATAAATGAACCTACGGATTTTACAGCTGTGGAAATAAGCCCCCCTTGCTTTTCTTTAGAACGATCGCCCGGCTGGTTATTTTGGTACTGTTGGTAATCAACGAACTTAACATTTTCAGAACTTGAAGTGTTCGGGCTATTATTCTCTGGTAGTACTTTTTCGGTATGTTTAGGAGAACCGTTATCATGATCCAAATTAGTATGTATGGGACTACTCAAAGTGGAACCCTCATTTGTCGATAACTGACTTGGAATTGGAAGTGGAACTGTATCATCATCTTGAGGACGATATGTAGGAGTTTTATTTGCACCAAGATTTCGAATATCGATATATTCTGAGGCAGATTCGTCGTTTTCATTTGAAATATTGGTAGTGTTGGAATCATCTACTAACTCTCTAGTAGGGGAAGGTGGGTTGCTAAAATTTAAAAGACTGTTGAAATTTGAAGTGTTCCGCTCTGCATCATCGACCTGAATGATTGGTGTAGAAACAGTAGATGTGCCGCCATGTTGAAAATCTTTGTAATCGACGCGAAATTCACTAGGATCAGTACGATAAGCTTTAGGATCTGTTTTTTCATGATCTGTGTTTATTCTAGGTGGAATACTTCTATAAGTGGGCGTGTCTATTACAGCTGAAGTTGTCGCGGGATTATTAGTCTCATTATCTGCCTCTGCCACAGGATTATTTGCAAAAGGTGGAAAATTTTTATTTGTCTCATCATTCTCATTATTTGCCCCAATGTTAGGGGGAGGTATGCTCATTTCAGGTGATACTGCCACAGAATTACTAGCAAAAGGTGGAATATTTTTATTTGTCTCAACATTCGATGGATAAATGGAGGTGTTGACTCCATATGACGTAGTTACTGGATTATTGGTCTCATTATTTGCCCCAATGTTAGGTTGAGGCATGCTCATTATAGGTGATACTGCTATAGGATTACTCGCGTAAGGTGAAA